CAGCATGTGTACTGCTGTCACAATTCAATTTCTGCTTTCGTGTAATTGCTTGCACTGCTCCAGTGCCCATTGTCATCACAGCTCCAGTATGACTTTTGAAGTCTGGATGAACAGCAAATGATGCATCAACATACCATTTAATCACGCGCAAATCATCAGAGCTCAATGTCAGATGCCATCCTTTTGTTGAATGAATGTATCTCATCAATTGAACTAGTTTATGCCAATCACTCAGATTCGGCGATTGCACCCTTGATGCTAAAATTGATACCATCGGACTGATGTCCAGTCGAGCACATTTGGACAAAAATAACAATTTGGCAACAAACAAATGGAACACTTCATGTCGCTCCTTCTCAAGCGGTGCCCCTTTACCTTTCTCCAGTAGATTATTTCCGGCTGGTGTTTCCTGGACCGCATTGTCTTTAAACTTGACTGGAAACTCACTCAGCATGCGATCCACATAATCATCCATGCAAATTTTCATTTTCCCTTTCTTCAGAAAATCCAATGTCATACCCAAATAAGTATGAACTTTACCTCTAGTACATGTGACCTCTTTTAAGCCACCATATTTCTCATTCACCCATGTGAAAAAATCTTCAAGTACTTGTTGTTCCATGTGGCTTGCTAAAACGTCATCAACATGGAACCTGATTGTCAATTGTTTGCCATTAACCATTCTGTTGGCAATGCAGGGATCATATCGATTGAAAACAAAGCCATACTCCTCTAGAGAAGCTCTCAGATTTCGATACCACAGCAACGAGGCCTGCAACATCCCATATATGGCACAAAGGATCACAACATAGATCACTCGCTTGCCATTCTCATAAACAACATAATCGCGATAGGTCGGGTCCAAATTGATCATATATTGGACCATCAGTCCAGCTACCTTCATGATCACCCGATCTTCTCCATCACCTAAATCTGGCATCAAGGTCTGAATGAATGCGTTCGGAATGTCCATTGACATCATGCATCTACCTTTGTGCGCGTCAATCACTCCTGTGCAACAGATACCTTCATGCGATGCAGTTGGACTAGCTATGTCCTCTCTAGACAGCCAGTCTCTTGTCTCATTTCCTTTATACACAAAACGACCTTTGATATCACCACTGTTTTTCTCTGCCAGTAACATCATTGCATCGACTGCTTACCTCTTCTCGGATTCAGTCAATTCACCAATGCTGATGGGTGTCCAACAACTTCGTTTGATCAGTTGATCAAGTTCCTTTAGTGCAGCTTCTTTTCCTCGTTCTTTGAAAATCTTTAATCCTTTGTTAAGATAATACTGCTGAATAAATGACACTCCATCTCTTGTGTACACCTCGTCACAAATCTGTTGCATGACGCGTGAAATCAGCAACGACTCATCCACATTGTAAGTTGCTTTCTTCTCAGTTCCACACTGCTGGAACATCAAGTTATGCGCCCGTTCGGCTATCTTTCTTCCTGCTTCAGCGCTCAACACGTTGTCATCTCGAAACTCTCCTTTCTTTCGTGATTTTACCTTTGATGCGATAGCCTGGTATAATGAGATAACGTAATCTCTTCAACCGTGCCTTATTTCTCATGGCACTTCTGTTCTTTAACAAATTGATCTTGGGCTTCTTTCGTTGTAAGTACGTCTGACCATGTCTTGGTCTGTCAGTTCGATTCCGATCTGTGGGTCGATACTTGACTCCGTTTGAATATAATGATCGTCCACTTCGTGTTCTCCTTTTCTCATCTTTATTTGAATCATCTGTTGTACTCAACACGGGGACTTCTTCAAACCTCACTCCTGCACGAACATCATCTTCCTTGTCAGGATATACTTGCGGTTCATCTTCTGCTTCTTGCATTTCTTCTATTTCTTCCACATCATATTCACCCTCATAGTCATCGTCATCATCTTCAACGCTGAACATTATTTCTTCTTCAATGGGTTGGCTCAATCTATCCAACTCACGGGCTACTTCATCAATCATATCTTTTAATTCTTCATCATCGATATCCATCTCAATATTGCTTTCAGGTTGCTGATCCTGCACGAAATCCATATCCTCTTCATAATACCTCCAACAATATTGAGCAATCATATTGGTCGATTATTGATCAATGGTCTATGTGACGTGACGCGGCAGTGACGTGAGTGTCGATCGTGCGTAATATGAAACGCAGTATGTCAAAACGCGTCATCACGTGGAAAGGTGATCAAAAATGAGAATCGTGAGAATTTATAAGATGATTCTGAACTTCAATCAAGAGTCTCACTATCGATTGAGTTCTGGAAAGAATAGTATTGTGGACGTTGAGGTCCAAGCAAGTATAGGAGATAATAAAGTAAGGCCTTTGATTGAATAAGACTACTGCTTATTCCAGAGGCTGAGGCCCAGAGTCGCTGGTGCCCAAAGGCAGACCATAGCCGATGTAGATTCGATCTCAGGGACTGCTCATTGAAACAGACAGGGCGTTGAGGCTCCCATTCAGGTCTGTAGAGCAGGTCCATCTGACAACTGAGAGCCTACAGAGTCTGATTAGAAGAAGTGTGTTCGCATGATGCAATATTTGTTTTGTACATTGTTGTATCACCTGACACTTTCTGCAGAATCACTATGAGTAATGAAAAATGGATGATCAACGCATCATTTGCGGTGCATCCAGATTTCAAGAGCCATACTGGCGGCACTCTGTCTTTTGGAGGAGGTGCAGCTCAAGTGATGTCAAAGAAACAGAAGCAGTTCGGAAGCGGAACTGATAGCTGTTGACGATGTTGTCACAATGATATTATGGACAAAGTTGTTCATGGAGTGGCAAGGGTATCCGATCGAGAAGAATATCTTGTATCAGGATAACAAAAGCGCAAGAGCGTGGGCAAAAGAAGCCAAGCTATCAATATTCATTATTTCTTTATCGCAGATCAAGTTGAGAAAGGAAATGTTAAGATCAAATACTGTCCAACTGACAATATGATTGCGGATTTCATGACTAAGCCATTGCAAGGTGAGAAGTTTTGCAAGTTCAGGGATCTGATACTTGGTCCACAGGAATAGGTCAGACAAGTATGTATATGTTCAAAATGAAAATACAAAACAAATAAACAGTGAATGAGAGCATGTCCCATTGCTGCCAATGGTGATTGTCACAATGCCAGGAGTGTGTTGGGATATGACAAAATATGAGATTTTACGTTCCAAAAAGAAACTATTCAAGTACAAAGTTTTTGACACGTACGACCGACTTTGATCTTGATGTCGGGATTTGACGCAAGTATGCCAGACGCAAGTCTGTTGGACATATCCACACAAAAAGGGAATGACCCTATACAGTGTGATATTGATGTTGTGTACAATGCAGTAGGGAATAATACAAGATGCCCCAAAGTACTGCATTCAACACAGAATTGTTGTAGAAGTCAAATCCAGTTCTGTAAACAAGGGATTTTCCAAAGGAAAATCGTTGAACTTACTTTTGTGATTGAATCATCAATTCAAGCCAAATATTAATCAAATAGGAACAATTTCACTCAAAGTATACCTAGACACAGGAGAACTATTGTTGTGAAAGTGTTGTATAGTCGACTACAAATTTAGATTGCAGAGAGTTTGTTCTAAGCGCTAAAGGCACTCACGATAGAGCACATTTTGTTTTATTCTAACACATTGCGTTGTGTTTTGTTTACCTTGAATTGATAATCTTATCTTCTACTGTAATCTCAAGCGTTCCCCAAGAATAATTATATTCTGGCAGATTATCAGTCGCAGTTACGCACCATCAGCTAACTGCCGCCGTTTTCCCTTAGAAAAACGTGATCTGCTTCCTCAGAAGCAATTTACAAGTCATTGCCAACTCATTGGCATTTTGGCCCACCACAACACCCACACTTGCGATCCGGCCCCAGTCCTTTCCGACACCTACAGTCGAAGACCAGAGTTTTAAGAGTGCTGATGCTGAGTATGATTTCTTGGATTTCTGGGAAGTGAATCAAAAGTTCTTTGCTATGAAGCAAGGAACAACCAAAAACTTGATGCATTTCAAGGAACGATTCTTGAGACAGGCTGAAGTCCTGCAAGATCTATATGGCGTGGCCTGATTCCAAAGTTTTGCAGTCAAGACAAAAGCGTATGCTGCTATTGCTAGCACCAATACTGCTGCTCAAAACAAGTTCAAGGATGATATCTTTGAAGCCGTTCTTGCAAAAGGATTTCTGTGCAACTGCGATTGAACAAGAACAGCTCCTCTGATGCTGGATCTTCAGACGAACTATTGCAGAGAAGTGGATTATTGTCCAAAGATGGTCAGCAAAGCACAAGATATGTTGAAAATTCACATGGATGTGATTAAAAATCCGGGAGTGAACCTCTACCAAGGAAAAGACTAACCTAATAAAGGTAAAGGTAAAGGAAAGGGAAAGGGGAAACTGAAGGATGGAAAGAAGGCAGCATGTTATGTATGTGGCAACGAAGACCATATGTCTCCAAAATGCCCAGACAGACTGCTACCAAAGACCCAATGGAAGAATCAGGATCAATATGTTGATTATGGGAAGAAGCTCAATCTTAATCAGATTGAAGCAACTGTCCCAGCTACTGTTCCAGCTATAGTGTCTGGAGCTTCAGCATCCACAAGTGGAGCATCAAGTGTTGCGGGAAGCGTTAACACACCTTTGTGACTTGCTGGTACTACAGGTAATCAAATGATGCAAGTTCCTTCTGGAATGCAGCTCATGCAGATTCCAACTCAAGGTGGCGGCACTGTTACTGTCCCTTATTCTATGAATGCTAACGGTGAGATTGTGTTCAGTGGAATGCAACTCAGCCAACAAGGCTTCAGTGGTGCTCAAGTGTGCCAAGGATTTGATGCAACTCAAGCTCAAACTCCGCAGGTTGTGAAGACTGGCTATTACGATATGTCAAATGTCTTCCACAATGCTATCAAGGGAAAGGATGAGAATGGCAATGATGTCTATCTTATTCCATGTCCTGCTGGTACAACAAATGTTGAACTTCAAGCCAACTGGCACTATGCTAGTGATAATGAAGATTTGCCTGATCTTGCTACTGAAGCAGATCGAGGTCTGCAGTTTATCCAAAGCCGCAGAAAGGAAAGAGATCCATTTGGGTTGTACAATCATGTCATCATGGACAGTGGTTGCACAAACACCACCATTTGTAATGGTGAGCTCATGCATGGACTCCGTCATGCTGAGAAAGAACTTGATATGCACACTAATGTGGGCAGCAGAGTTCTTGACAAAGAAGGTTTTCTAGGAAGATTTCCACCTCCAGTTTATCACGATGAAGATGGAATTGCCAATGTACTTGCTATGCGCGAGATGATTGCTGCGGGATACCGCATTACTATGGATACTGATGCTGACAATGCTTTTATTGTGCATTGTGATGGAAACAGAAAGATGCGATTTGTGAATTGTAAGGGTGTGTATGTGTTGGAGCAACTTGGAGCGAATGTCAAACCAGGTGCCAAAGAGACAAGTGTAATGTACCGTCGCCAGTTAAGCAACTTAAATAATCAACCCCATTTCGAACTTTCTTCAAACAAACAGAATGGATATGCTGGACTCGAGATGACCTCCAAGATGGCAACCGTTTGAAAGAACAAGGAAGGATTCACTCCAAGACAAGTCAAGGCTGCGTTGGATGCGAGAAATGCAATGCACATAGTCAATGCTCCAAGCACCAAAAGTATGAAGTATGCAATCCGATCTGGTCTCACCAAGAACTGTCCTATCACCGAAGAAGCGATCAATCATGCCAAAGCAATCTTTGGACCTGACGCCTCTACATTGAAAGGCAAGTCAACAAGACCAACTCCAAAGAAGACATACGACGACTTCTTCAATCCACCAGAGGAATTATATCAGCACAATCGATCTATTACCATCTGTATTGATCACATGGAAATCGAGAATGCTAAGTTTCTCACCTGTATTGATACCACTGTGCGTTATGGCTCATGTATTCCCGTGCAGAACCTGAAGACTGACCCTGTATTTGCACTGGATAAGATATTCCGCTGCTACAACAAGGCAGGCTTTCAAGTCAAGATCATCAAGTGTGATTGGGCGTTCATTCCTCTCATGGATGGTATGCTAGACAATATGGGTGTTACTACTGACCCGACTGCAGCTGGAGACCACGAGCCTACCGCTGAGCGAAACAATGGGACGCTGAAAGAAAGAGTCAGAGTAGCTCTTGCATGATTACCCTACAAAGTGGTTCCAAAAGTGATCACTGAATGTCTTGGACGTCGAGCCGCCGAGCTATTGAATGTCTTTCCCCAGAAAGACAGTATCTCATCACATTTCAGTCCGCAGCAACTCATTGATAATGTCAATATCAACTACAAGAGTGACATGGTTGCTGAACTTGGACAATATATTCATGCAATTGGGACGGATTCCAACAATTCGATGGAACCCCAAAGTATTGAAGCAATTTACATTGAACCTACAAAGGGACAATGTACTGGGCACCGAGTGCTCAACCTCAATACTAAGAAGATGATTTCCTGACCCAAGGTCGTTGTACTACCCGTTACCGATCAAGTAATCCAGCGTGTTGAAGCTTGGGCTGCTGCCAAAGGTGTTACTTCCATGAAGTTCTTCGATAAGAACAGAGATTTGGAGACATTTCAAGATGACAATCAAATCGCAGGAGTGGATGACACGGAACAAGGTTACTTAGAAGAAGCCTTTGATCAGGACTATGAACCTGAAGATGAAGATGAATGTGATTTCAATCTATGTGGACAATTTGATGATATCAATGACTCCAAAAGAGAAAAGCTCTTGGCAGATGCAGACAATGATGTCGATGATATGCCAGAACTCACTGTCAGATTCCAAGGAGATGATGACTATGAATCAAACGACGATTCAGCTGATGAAGGCGATGAAGAGGAAGAGCCTATTGTGGCCGATTTGGATCACCATCAAGAAAATGTCGATAGAGGAACTGATGATATTGGGAGCCTCGTTTCTGATCTGGAGGACCTACAAGAGCCGCCAGAAGAAGAGATTGTATTTGAGCCTGAAACACCTCAAGTAGCAAAAGTCACTCGATCTGGGCAAACATATGCGCAAGCTGCAATGTCTGGGCTGAACCTTTCCCAAGTTCCAAAGAGACCAAGAGAATGGCCTTCGAGCAGGAGTGGCAGTTCTGCCAATGAGAACAAGAATCGAGTTGCAACAAGATGCAAGCATCGAGAAAGAGACTTGAAACCGTTGAAGAACAAGTTAAACTCTGGTATTCGTACCAAAGAAGGAAGTCGCAGTACTAAAGACAGTAAAGCTATCCTTGAAGCAAAGCACAATCTATGTTTCCAACAGATTGGGAATGAGATGAAAGCTGATTATGAAGAGCACAATGCTATTCTGATCGCTCGTTGCATGATGCAGATCAAGGCCAAGTTCGATACTGACAAAGGTCTGAACTTCATTCAACAGTATTACATCAATCAAGGACTGAAGAAGTTTGGTGATGATGGAAAGGATGCTGTGGATAAGGAATTGAGACAAATGCTCCTGAGAGATTGTTTCACTCCCAAATTTGTTAAAGACATGACCGCGTCTGAGCGAAAGAAGGCCCAATCAGCGATGATGTTACTTGCGGAAAAGCAATTTGAAAAGACAATTAAAGGTCGCCTAGTATACCAAGGCGATGGAACTCGTGAATGGTTATCGCAAGAGGACACTGCAAGTCCAACTGCTTTGCAGGAAGCAATCACCACTACTTGTGTTATTGATGCAGACGAAGGTAGAGATATAATGACAATGGACGTTCCTAACGCTTTCATTCAAACTTATATGCTTGAAGCAAAGGAAGGAGGAGATCGTGTCTACATGAAAAACAATGGCATGATGGTCCAGATATTGATTGACATGGCCCCAGAGTATCGCGAATACATTGTATTAGAGAACGGAAAGCGAGTAATCTATGTGCGGGTACTACGTGCTATATATGGGATGTTGCAATCGAGCCTCCTATTCTATAATCAGTTTCAAAGCCTCCTATTCTATAATCAGTTTCGAAGTGATTTGGAGGCAAAGGGGTTTGTTTTCAATCTGTATGACCCGTGTGTTGCTAACAAAGTTATTGATGAAAAACAACAAACTATCAGATTTCATGTTGACGATCTTATGTCAAGTCACATGGATCCGAAAGTAAATGACGAATTTGCTGAGTGGTTGAACATGAGATATGGTTCAATCCAGGCATGTAAAATTGTCAGAGGAAAGATACACAGATATCTTGGAATGACTTTGGATTTCTCGATGAAAGGAAAACTCAAGATCCGCATGGACAACTATGTCAAGAACATGTTGGAAGATTTTCCTATCAAGTTCAACAAGGATTCAAAGCAGGAAACACCAGCTGATAGCAATTTACTGGAAGCTGGTAAAGGGAAGTTACTCAGTGCTGAGTATCGTCAGATCTTCCATACTACTATTGCAAGGGGACTTTATGTCTCTAAGAGAGCTCGTTTGGATATCCATCCAACAATTACTATTCTTGCCTTGAGAGTTCAAGAACCTACAGAGTCTGATTGGAAGAAGTGTGTTTGCATGATGCGATATTTGTTTTGTACATCGTTGTATCACCTGACACTTTCCGCAGAATCACTACGAGTCATGAAATGGATGATTGACGCATCATTTGCGGTGCATCCAGATTTCAAGAGACATACTGGCGGCACTCTGTCTTTTGGAGGAGGTGCAGCTCAAGTGATGTCAAAGAAACAAAACTAAACAGCAGAAGCAGTACGGAAGCGGAACTGATTGCTGTTGACAATGTTGTCACAATGATACTATGGACAAAGTTGTTCATGGAGTGGCAAGGGTATCCGATCGAGAAGAATATCTTGTATCAGGA